TTGAAAAAATGTTCAAGCAGCCCTTAATATAACCTTATCTTGAAAATATTGTTGTTTTTTTTAGCATATTAAGTTTTCACAAAAGTGAAATTTTATTATGAAAACTTTGGTAACAAACATATTTTCGTGCACAATAATATATATTGAAATTTTTCTTATCTTTTGATCATGTAAAACCATGGATACCAACTTTGATTTGTTACGTATAATTTCATGTGAACCTATCATGTTGAATCAAATTTAAAAGTTATAAAATTTTTTTATAAAAAATATATTCAGAATGATTAATAATTTATATGTAATATATTTCCTTCATGTTTGACGAGATATAATTGAACAATCCTTTTATGGTTCATATATCTTAGAATAAAATAAAAGTGTGTAACATATTCTACAATGTAAGGTTGATAGTGTTCCAATTTCAGTTCCATCTATGGCGTCTTCCTGTCATCTTTGTTATCTTATCATCGTGTATTACTCGACATTATTCATCAACATGAATGAAAACCTAGATGCAAAGAACTGATGAATTCATAGAACACAGACACGACTGCAATATGGTTCTCGTATTACGATATGAACGCCTTCTTGCTTGTACATAATTTCTCTTAATCGCGGTCAAGAGTGTGACTTGTGTGCATTCAAGTAAAAAACTCATGACAAGATGAGCACAATTTTTTCAAATTGGATGCGTTAGTATTGGTTTTGGTCACCTAAAGCTTGATCGTCTTTTATGATATAAATATATATCAATTATTATATAATACTCAATTATATCATGGCAATATATCGTTTTCACCTCTGTCCCATCCTCGAACTTCACCAGCCTTGCAATAAATCGTGGCCGTAATTAAAGCAATCCACACCAAAAGTACAGACTTGGTGCATTCGTGACGCCGAGTGACTAATTCAAGAGATCAGATCGTCGAGTCGATCAAACAGAAACAATTTGGCGCCCGTCGTCGGTCGGTACGAAGGGGGGAGAGCTCATGCATCAAGGCCACCCATCGCAATCGGGCGTGCATGTGGTTGACGGGTCGAATTACGTAAGATCGAACTCGTGGCTCCTAATTCCCCGTTCCGAATGTCGCCGATCGATGATCGATGATCGATCAGCGAGAGCGTTGCGCCCCGCGCGCGTGGAAATGAGAACCAACCAGCCAGCCTTCACGAGAGGACAATCGGCCATGTGGCTCATCTGAGTCCACTTGCTGCAGTCGATGGAGGGCGAGCTCACGACGATGCATCCACTATGCCTCGGCACAGTCGCCCATGCCTGCTCGAGAAGCGATGGAGGACTCGAATAAGACAGGTCACGAGGCCTCTCGTTTCTACTGTCTAGGACTGCGGGTCCATCAATCAATGTCCGCCCTCGGAGGAGGCAGGCTCATGGCACTTCCCATCCCCTCTCATCTGCTGCTGTGACCGGCCCCGGAGCGAGAGAGACTGGTCACAGCACATTGGAGCCATGCAGTGCGTCGTCGTCCTGTGTGGCGGTGTGTGCATGCGGACGCTCTCTTCTCATTGCTGGCTGGCCACTGCAGACGGATCGATTGAGGAATCAATCGCGGTCCACTCCGGGCACACATTTGCCTTTTTTCCATGCAAGTACAGCTCACGGCTCGGCACACAGTCCTTCTCTACTGTAGTTGCAGATGATCGTGGGGGGAATCGTGAAGGTCCGCCATGGAAATGCTTCGTTCGTGGTCCAGATCACGGCATCTGCAGCCATAGCTTTGTCAGAGCTCAGCTGAGCTCGGAGCTGGGATAAACCGCCGGGCCGGCTTTCAGTTGTGTTTGCGTGCGAATGTCGTTCGACAGTGAACGTGAGCGAGTGTTCAAGTTAGGACTCTCGCTCTTGTCGCCTCTCTGAAATCCCATCCCATCCCATCCTTACTTGGGCTGTGGAGATCTGTCTCGCACCCTGTCCACTGTCCGGAGCTCAGCAGTGCACGAAGTGACCTGTCTTATTAGGCTCAACAAAACCTGTCAGGAATAGAGGCACCAGAGGACCGATAACGGTGATGCAGGGAGCGAGTCAGATCGGATCAGCTCATCTCAGCTCAACTGAACAATGGCAGCAGCAGCAGCAGCAGGAGGAGGTGGAGGAGGAGTGTTTCTCATCCTCGTCCTCGCCCTGCTTTTGCTCCTGTTAATGGCCGGAGGGCTGAGGGCTCAGGCTGGTCTCGGCTTTGCTAAATTATAGATAGATTCAAGTCGAACGTGAAGCGCTGGGCCATAAGGAATCAGATCGTGAAAACCGAACAAGAGTCTTCTTCCAGAAATAATCGTCAACTCATTGTCAGGGTTGAAGCTGATTGATTGATAATCTGAGAAACGGCCTTGGTCGTATTTTAAGACTCTTTTTTGAAGGCGGAGGTTTGTGGTCCACATGAAGGACGAGAATTATACAATATTATTTCTTCAGCGGTCGATGGTCAAGATACTCACAAGGTGCAACGCATCTCTGAAACTTGAAGAAGTCGGATTTCATTTTTCAGCTGTCGACACGCTGTTGCACTCGGATTCCGTTCCGTTCCTTGTATGGCAAAAGACGGTGTTTACTGCACAAATTTACTCCGATTGCGGTCGGATTCTGAATGAATCTGGAATCCGAGAAGAATGTACGAGTGGGACAAATAAGCAAGACGAAGTAACAGCAACAGCGTTTCTGCGAGGGGTCATCGAAATCCTAAGTTGCACCCCACTTGGTCAACGTCATCTGAGCTTTTTATATTTCTGTTCTGTCTGCGGTGCATAGAAATGGTTGCAGGTCACTCCTTCTGGTGGGTGCATCTCCCACGAGTGGATCTTTGATGATTCTCTTCGACTTACCAACATCCAAAAGATGGCTAATACTTTCGGGCTCTTCTTCCTCTACACAAATCTAATCAAGCTCCATGACGTTCAGATTCAGATCTACAGTCAGTTCAGATTACTACGATTAACAGAAAACATGAACAACAGTACTTCCTTACACGACCTTTGAGGAGAAAACTGTATAATCCGCGGGCGTGTTCAAGCACTGCTCGTTTTATCACCAAGTTCGAAGATAAATATCCCGATTTCCACCACAGCTAAATGTCACCATCTCCTTCTGCCAAATAGCTTGTACCACGAATGTATCTGGACAACACTTTTCGGCATCTCGGATTCTGTTATACATGTATATGGATATGGATGAATAGACTGCTAGAGGATTGCTCTACTACACATGGAAGAACTGGAAAAAACAAAATGCAGAAAGACCGAGGAGGAGGTCCGTGGGCAGCGTGGGGAGCACATCGTGATTGTTCTCCAGGCAGTTGGTTGATTATCAGGTCGCAGGTATAGCCGGACCGGAATTTAAGTCATCCGCCCTCTTTGTCCTCCCTTGCGTTTGGTTGCGCTGGCGGGTAGAGGGACCGGAACTTTGTTTGCCATCTTCATTGATATCTGAGCGTGAATTGCTGCCTTCCATCTGACGACGACTACATCAGCATCTCTCGAGTTCGCATCATCTGCCATCAAATTCGTGTACAATGTACAAACGAGGGACCGGTTCGGTTCGGTTCGGTTGGAGCTCATCCCAACGAATTGCAGTAATTGATGACTTGCTGTTCTTTCTTGCACTAAAGCTTAATTTAAGAATACATCACCACGTTACCGTAACAATATTGTCAGTCAGCGTTTGATATTTATGCAAGCAAGGTTTCCAAATGTTATGGTATCCAAGATGTGATTTCCTTGTTTGTCTAGGTTAATGGAATTATAAACACGTACTTTAAGAAAGCGAATGCAAGGAGTCTACCTGTGGATACAACTTATCGGAAGGTGTCCATGCAAATTATGGTCTTAGTATTAATTTACTCCAACGTCCATGTGAAGAGGGTTGTGTTGTAATCACATAAGTTTCTTGAATCTGGATTTGACTTTCATTTCTTTGGACTTTGAAGCAGACGACCTTTCAAAAGTAGATGTAGGACATGGAACATGAGTTATCTTATCAATAATTTTTGGCATTCTTCTGTCCCAGTTGTCACAATTTGGTTAGAAAGGTATGCAAGCATGGCTATGGAGACATCATGGAACATGGAAGTCTGCCTCATGATATTTCAGTACTTTTTAGCATGCTTAGTCAGTTTGTCATTAGTCTCTATCCAGTAGAACATGACTTAGTACCGACAAAAGATATTTTGTTGAAGCATACCCACCATTAAGAGTCTACACATTCCATGGTCCACATAATTGAAAGTTACTTTCAGAAAACACGCCACGTCCATCCTAAAACATGAATAGCATGTTGCCTTTCTACAGCTTGAGTTGTAATTACACATATGATATGAAACTTAAATGGGTGAGCAGAGTTCTCAGTGTTGAGGTTGATAATGTAATGTTAAATTAAGATCATCAACGCAACCACACAGTGGTAGCAAATTCACCTAATAGATGCATCTTGCTGTGACGAACGTGATGTCACGGAGCCAACACGAAAGCTTGTTCATAATACTAGAGACTGCAGGACGCATGTCTTTCATCATCTTTACCGGCACAACTTGCACTCAAATTTTTGTGGCAGGAGCTGCAGTTCAGAGCCAAGCTCTATGTCTCATGCTTTACACCCAAATGATAGTCAGGTATATGAAGGCAGTTTAGATTCTTTTCACGACGAAAGTGTCCTCTACTTTTTTTGGCCTTCCTTCCACCCTCATTAAACTGGTTCCCATTTGTTATCGTTGTCATCGTTTCTTTCCATCTCATATATGTCAGGGTTTTGCTTCTTTAGGCCATATATATCTAAAAGATTTCACTTTATCTAGGCTTTTTCCGACGAAATATAACGATACAACTTTCAACCAGATAACCTCGCTATAAAGCCAGCTCCAGCAGCCTATCGCAGTCCTCTGTTAAAGCAAACACTTGTGGCAGTGTCTTCAGTATGAACTGTTCCCGCCATGAAGACAAAAGTATGAAAGAAATAAAAATTCTTTCCACAGCACAAAAGTCAATAGAACAATGTACACAATTCATTATACTGGGCCCGAATTAGGACCCTGATGACACCTGCAAACGTAAAATGCTACCAGTTTCATTTCCCAAGCGATGTAACCATCACCTCACAATGGAAGTGGAATTACAGCGACTCTCTAGTGTCTTACAGGCCGCTTATCCATTGTTGTGACTAAAAGGCTACTTTCTCTTTAGATTCCAAGTGGATCAGATTCCGTACAGGAGAGGATTACATTCTCGAAAGTGGCAAAAATCCACTATCTCTTTGTAGACATTTTCCGTCAAGCAGAGATCCTTCTTTGGAGCAGTCGATCCAAGAGAAAATGATCGATCTGGTGATAAATAGAAATTCTATCGATGAAGTGAAAATCATGCGCAGTTCATCCTAGAAAATGTGTTGTGCCTATAATTCCCGAAGATCACAGTCTGATCTGATGTAAAGGCACATATGCTTGAGAACTGAGCTCTCTTCTCAAGGAATTACGCAAGGTATGACTAGCAAATGTTAACTGGGAAGCATGTCCTCCAAAATGAGCGATTCCTAGAAAAATCCTAGCCGGATTCTAATCAGAATATTCATAACCTGAGAAACCTTCAATCACGTCTCTGGGACAATGTGTGATATTTTCACAATCTTAAATTCGGAGACAGACCTCTGTGGAGTAAACCCTTTTCTCTCTCAGGTTTGTATCAAAACCAGACAGAGAAGCCCAACTTTTCGTGCTGCTCAGGAAACTTTTCGCTTCTGTGCAGCGGCAGCAGCAGGGTTGGGCTGCTTACTAGGAGCAAAAATTGCACTGCAGTCACAATGAACAATTCCGTTAGTATATAGATAATAGCGAATGTGACCGAAAGGGTAAAACTTGAAGATGAAGGTAGCGCCATAAGCCATAAGACAAACTGCATTCCAAAGCCAAATCAAAGAGCTTCCATGCCAAGAATCTGATCATACTTGCAAGTCGTGCACGTTCGCTGACCCTTGCAAAATATAGACAAGCACACAGAGCATACGAAACCCATGTCGATAGACTTCTTATGACAGAAGCACCTGCTCCAAACAAAATTCAACAATTAGCTACCTCGACTACTCATGGTGTAATGAAGTCTTGAAACAAAATATTCAGTGAGATCGAAGGTATTTGCCAAACATAGCCCGAAGACCACACGCCTCGTGCCATGGCTGAGAGTTACTTATAACAGCATTATACTGGAGAGGTCATTACGATCGAGTAGTAGTAGGTGCTTGTCAAAGAATAATCAACACATTAGTCTATGATTGCTTTGTGCAACATTATCAATTTGCCACATCAAGGTAATCTCTCAAGCTAGCTACATGGAAGGTTCATTACATAGACTAATGAGCTCAGCTTTCATTTACATGAGGACTTTACTGAGCAAGGCATCAACCCAAAACTTCAAAAGGAAAGATATGCGACGCAATCTCTCAATCGAGGGAATGTCGATTACAATTAGCCGAGTCTACTAGATTACTGAGAGTTCACATGCTGAGAAACATGCATAAATATATTCAGAACGGTGACAGGGCCTCTTTAAGGGAATTACAGCTTAGTATGTGCATAAAGTATGAGCATTGAAACGAGAGATCCACTATGTGAGAAAGTATAAGTCATACTTCTCCACGAGCCGTAAACATCTCAAAACGACTGGTGATCTAGTAGGGAGCAAGATGCAACTCACGAGGCACGAAAGTCAACGCCACTTGCACGAGGAAGTTGCAAAAACTTTCTTGAGTATAGATCAGTTGCAAACACCATCTGCCAAGCAATTTCAACCGAAAGCCACGTCAAAAGTAGGAACTCAAATTTCTACAGCAAGGTAACAAAACTTTCACCCGCCATGATATGCACGAGCCTGTACTCTTTTCAGTTCTACCACATGCTTCAAAGCAGTTCTTGCGAGCTGCCAGAGATGATAATGATATACTTGGTTTTACAACGTATTAAGATAAAGGTTGTTACCCCTCAAAGCTTGCGGGAAAGCTTATGGAGAAATTTTGTAATTATCTTTAAAAAAAATAAAACTTACAGAAAGATACTCGAATAGGCCTTCCGGTGCAGGCGGCTTCATGTAAATACCCCCTGTAATGTGTGTGGCCTGTCATTGAATATTTCAGTCCTTTAGACTAGATTGAATTCTTTCAGAAGCAAATGTTGCAGGCTGCACGGTCAAAGGACAAGACGACGAATGAGCAAGACAACTTCCTCATAGAAGAACCCAAAACGCACTGAGCATATGATGGACCAGGGACCTAGATATCAAGACTAGAGAGATTATACCTGCTGAAGAAATGCTGAGTGATGATTTCCCACGATACATGCATCGATTGGCACCTGCAAACGAAACAGGTCACAATAAAGTCACATGTCATGCATCTTACGAGAAAGAAGTGTGAGTGGATACATTGTCCCATCCAAGAGAAGTTGCATGTTCCAACATTCCAGGATTTTGCCTTCCAACATTTCAGTGCTTCTCACTAACTTACCAGACTACGTTGGGCAGAGAAAATTGCGTTCATCACGGCAATGTACCTGCAAAATGTTGTTATAAGACTTTGCGAATGAAAAGCAGAATTCTCTTTAGCCGCATTAAGTGTCACACGACTGCAGGGACACATCCAGAAAAAAAGAAGACCAAATCTGAAGAGCAACAAGAGAGACACGTACTGCGGTGGAGCATCAGGTGTACCCTGCAAACATAAAATCTGACAATGACAAGAACTTGATTAGCAACGACTGTAGGCCTCACTAGGCTGCAAACAAAGAAAATGGAGTACTTGCCAGTTCGTCTGGGCATCTAGTAGTCTGTAACAAGAACAATTCTCCCTCTATCAACATACATAAGACATCGTGCTTTAGGGTCCACAGCATCATGGAGGGCCGTGACGTCAAGCGGGTAGTCCCCCTCAAGAAAGAGTAGAGCTAAAACGCTGTAGTCAGGTGAATCTAACTGGTGGCAACATCTCGGTAACTAATCAGAGCCAAAACTAACGGCAGTGTGGAGAGTCTTACCCTCGGAAGAGGATGAGGAGATGGTCCGCGCAAAATCCTTTGAATGTCTGGTATAAGCAGTCAAGGTTACTTCTCATAGCATTATGCAGATGACTTCACAACAAAAGACAACTTCCTCTAGCTTGACGTCCCAAAACCTCAGTTAGGTTCGGATGTAATTCGTAGCCAGTAACACTTAAAAACAAAAAATCAATCTACTCTATATTTACTACAAGACTGGTTCATACATTAAGGACATCTGTAGTCCTGTACACAAGATCACTTGGACTTCTTTTAGATACAGCAAAGTGCCATTGATAAAGAACCAGAGAGCAGAGAATATCGATTATCCTCCGTTCCCTGGTTCAAGTCATAAACGGCCTCCTTTGACATAAAGTCCTCCAGCTTTTGGGTAATCTTTTCCACCACTGATAGTTTCTTGGAAACTCTAGCAGTTCGAGCATTTTCTGATAGTTCGGCTGCGTTGGAATCGTACAAATATGCACTGTCACGAAACGAGAACAATTTCATTAATGTCGAAGACGACATCTATCAAGTATAATTTACACATTGCTACCACGAGTCCACCCAACTATATTGCAAATCTCTTGTTCTTGAAGTGGTCTATTTTCTCAGAACGATGCTGGAACACTTCTATCAGATCAGTTTGCCAGACTTGTCTGCGCAGTCTAAAGTGCCAAGCTATCTGAAGTTCAAAAACATCGTCTTAGTTAGGGGGCAAAGTAACCGGAGAGTGGAATCTATACAACAATGCAAATTCCAGGGCACCCTATGTGGTGACGATGAATAGCAACATTAGGGAAGCCCAAGGTACCAGGAAGTTGCACCGGTCGCAATAACCACGATTCGATTAGCTTGATTTAGAAGATGAAGGGAGTTGATGAAGAGGAGCACCTGCAGCAGTAGCAAGAAAACGACATCTTCTGTTACAATCCGAGGGCTCAACAGACAAACCCAGTCCTCCCGTGTACAAATTCGATATAAACAAGAGACTACACGTCTTCTTCGCTTTCAACAATAAACAACATGTGTAGATATAAACGTTCATGAAATTCCGTACAGAAACTCATCTTTCATTGAAATCACTGGTAAATTATAAATTGCCAACTTCAGAGCACTCAAGCCTGATCATACCTGACGTTCTCAACTAAAAATTAAGATAAAGTCATGCGATTGAGAAGTAAAATTCTCAGACGTATGTAGACTGATAGAATGCATCTTGTGTCGAAGACAATGACACAGCTAAAACAAAACTGATAAAACATTTGAAAATTTCATCATGATGCTATTTTATGCTTTAATTGTTCTCGATTTAAATTCGGGTCTAACGAAAACTGTAAAATTACTCATACAGCAATTCAGGAGCAGAGTGAAGGGGGAAATTCCTCAGTCCCTTACATGTTCCAGAAACCGGTCAAACGTGAAATTTGCAGGTCCCGTAGAATGTGCCCCATTGCTTCGACCTCCCCAAAAATAGGGATTTGCCTCCAAGAGAATTACCACCTGACTGATGTCATCTGTATCACCCGTTTTGCGTGATCAGAAATTCAGCTGATCAAAGTCTGCGCAAGCTGGGACAATCTGCTCAACAACAGCGTAGAGGACCTGCAAATTCATCTGTGCTATTTGAACATACCTGTAGCGTTCAATGCATCCATGGCACAATCGTGCTACGTCACCAGACTTGACAACGATCGTCACTGCATCCCATCAGCAGCTGATTCCACATTTCAAACAACAGAGCGAGTCTTACAATCGAGCCGCTTGTTCATCTCTCGGGATCTTGCAACCCCGTTCCAGAAGATACTACCACAAAACATTACTGGACAAATTCGAAGATAGTTCGTCCATGAACGAGAGCCCCTGTACAAAGTAGCACCGCCGACTTCATCGGTCCACGCAATTGGAAGGTCTATCTATGCTCAATGGACTGCCACCGTAGTCTGGACTGCGACATCCCCAACCTTTGCAGAGAGAAATCGCTCCGTCCACGGCACTGACCAAAACTCTAAGAAGCATGCTAAGAAACAAGGCACAACAAACACGCCCAAGTAGAATCTTTTACAGAATCTTCTGTACCTTAAACCCTTAATTCCAGAACCCTGTTGGACACAATTGCTCACTGGCCTCAATTCTGAGTAGCCCTGCTCATCGACCAGCACAGATCACTGAATCCACCGCAAACAAAGTAGAGAGAATTCGCCCACCGGGTGGACACGTGGAGGTGATCTGAGCTCATCAGTGCGAGTGGTAACTCACACTGTCCCCTGCATGCTGCTGCTGCTGCTGCTGCTGCGAATACTGCTCAGAAAGAGATCCTTGAGTTCACGACCAGTGCGCCGCCTGCTCATCGACGTCGCAAAGTCAGGGGAGTTCAGGTCAACTCAACTCCAGTGGAAGAAATTGGACGCGACCATTTTCAGAGTTATATGATGCTATCGGCTCATTTGACCCCCTTCGGTTTCATCCCTCTGCGACTGGAATGGGTCTTAGCATCCCTTCCTCTGCACACTCATGTGCAACGTGTCAGTGTCACCCTCTACGTCCACACCTCTCGTTCCCCGTCTAATTATACGGTGAACGGGGCGAGCCCATCATTCTATCCATCACTTGATTCTCTACGTACTTCTACACACGAGCACCAGGAGACTATGCTTTTAATAAAATAGCCACTTTTGCTGCTAGTTTTGACAGAGCCAGAAAGAAGGTTGCTTTCTTTGCTAACAAGAGTAAGATGTGGAGAAAGAATTGTGGTACACAGGGGCATAGCAGAGAGATTTGTAATTGCTTATCATGTGGTGAGAGTGGTAACTTGGGCTTTCTATGCACAAAGGTGTCTGGAAAGTCAGTAATATATGCTCTCAGCATTCAGCTCTAATATGAGTTATGATGGTCTTCTATTTCGGATCATGAAGAAAGTGTTGTGATATAAGAAAATGAAAATGGTGATGAATCTCCAGACCTTGGAGTGGAACTGTTCCTGTGGCTTTTGTTTGAGTGATAATCGAGGACGACGAGCATACAATGGTACTGTAGAAGTTCGATATGTACCAATTAGTAGGATTCTTGATGTTGGTGACCGAGTTGTTGAGAATCTTTCACCTGAGTGGACAGTAGAGTGGTAGTAAGTTGTAGAAACATCGTCCAGGACTGAGACGTATGGTCAAACTTTCACAATCATGTTCTAAATTTTGGAGGTAAGAAACGGAGTCTCGAGAGACAGCAGAGAGACTGATACATCAGTATCGACAACAGAAAAGTGATCGCTAGAATTCGAACAAATGTCGATGTAGAATAACGCAAAATTCCGCGCTACAGATCTTTATGCTCCTGACACTCGCCAACAGCATCCGCAACAGACCTTCATATTATCTGCAACGCTGTAAAGCATATTGTAGTCAAGCTAGCAATTCTACAAGTTCCAATCCAGTACGGGAGGGAAGTACATATCATGGAAATGACAACTAAAAATCCGGAGCACTCTGTGGAGACTGAAGTACAAGCCTTTCAAGGTACACAGTTCGACAATAAGAAAGAAAAGGAGGTATGAGAAGACCGGCATTTGTTACAGCAAGCTGCCAGTTTAATCTGATTGTTAGCCTGAAGACCTTCGAGAATATGATTTGGTCGAGCAGTTGGTGGAGTTTTTATTTTCCCTCTTTGTAGAACATGGGAAATCTTATCTTTAGTGAAGCTGGTAGCTTCAGTCCAAAGTTTCAAGCTTTTTGTGAAGGTTGTGAAGGTTTGAGGTGGAAGTTGAAAATGAGAATACTTAAGTTCCATAAGGTTTTACAAAGGCAGGATACTTCCTGAAAACGGGCAGCGAATGAAGGACAGTAACGAGCAGCAGTGCTTCTGACGAAACCATAAGTTGAGCGAAGGGCAAGACTGTCAATAAAATGATGAGCTTTTTGTAATTCTTACATATGTTTATGTTTCATCCAACTTCTGCGTCAATATTTCAGATTCTTCGACAATCTTTGGACCTCCTTAATAACTCCATGTGAGGACACCCTGAAGGGACGAATTACCAGGTGCACACATAACAGGTTGCCAGGAACTCCTCTCTTTGCAGCAATCCAAGTGTTAGGATTCATACACGGCATTATCATAGAATGTTAAATCTACCAGCAGTGTCTTTGCTGATACCACAGGCGACTTCACCGTCGTCGTTGAGCTCTTACACAGGCGCAGTTCGTTTACATATTATATCAGACGACACTCTTCGAATCGAGGTCGCAATAAGCCCATATTGCGCAAATTATATGGACAAATAGAACAGTTCATGTTCATGATTATGCCAAACTGGCGGGCTTGTTATTATAAACATCCGAAGAAATTCCCCGGTTATCTCTCTGTCCTATCTCTAAAATCTATGCATGGTTTGAGCTACATATCTATGAACAAGTTTTACCTAGTCCTACTTCACAGTCATGAAATGTCCTGAACACGGACCGAAAAAGCTCCACGGGTCCTTCCTTGTTGTTTCGTCGGTCACAAATCAAACTCAAAGAGCTGTCAGAGCAAGTAACGAGACCTTGAGATGCGTTACTCGTCTCACACAGACTTCGACAGCTATGGCCTCTGCGTGCAGCTCCTACTGAGGTGATCCTACGTATACCGAAGCTCCTGCTGGAGTCGCCGATTATAGTGAAGTATGGATGTCATTCAGGCCACCATAAGCTTGTAGATACTCAGCTGAAAACCCCAACTCATGGCAATCACCGTCGTTCAAGTCGAGCAGGTCGTCTTTATGACGTTCCAAACGTCGAAGCAGAGAAAAAATATGTCAGAAAAGTGAATTGCCGACACTGTCATGACTGTCGAGGAACTTTTCTGAGATGTCCCGCACTAACAGACTGGGTGCAACCGATTCTCCAAATTCTGCGCGTGATGATAAGGGGAGATTGATGAAGAGTGGCATCCTTTTAAAGGGCAGAGAGCAGGTATATATAAAAGCATTTCTGCAACTTTGCTGCAATTTGTGATTAGCCATCTGCCAGTCGAACCGGGCCAAATGTTTAGGAATAGTTAGATAGATTGTCATCAAACGTTTGAGGTACAATCGCTGTCGACAGCGATTCGACACGACAGCGACACTCATAAGCCAGAGACGGTAATCAGATCGACATTCCATGTCACGAATCAGATCAAACGTTCGCAATTCCAGATATGGTAGAACAGAAGAAAAAGAAGAGCTCGGTTGAACCAGAACTTCAGATGTATCGTCGAGCAAGCCTAAGCAAGAAGAGTTTCGGTTTTAGGCTTGCGGAGGCTAGTCATTCTTGAGGAGGAGGAGGAGGAGTTGGAGCAAATCATTTAAGCTGTCAGTAGAGAGCTTCTCGAATCTGAGATCTCAAGCGTTGGTGCTGCGGGACCTACTGAAGGGCTGCGCTTTGTCCTGTTGATCTTCAAAATTCTGTACTCTTCTCATACTGGTCCTCAGTCCTCAGTCAGGTCGATTACAGAAAAAGCTTTCCTCGTGCATGAGGTTCGGATCCTTCGACCTCTGTTATCACATGCATTCCAAATCTCTTTTAATTTATCGTCACGGAGTAAAAATCTTCCTTGGAACTTCATCTCGATTTTAATGAATATGAGGTTTCCTGGTGTTCTCGTGCAGCCGATCATCCAGGTCCTTTCAGAAGGTTACAAGGATGACGAGCTTTTAATTTCACTTGCAATTCCTCCACCTACTTACAACTTTGATCAAATGTCGGGCTCTGAAGGTTCGAATAACTTCCGAACCTCCCAAAACCCGAAGGAGGATGCCTTACGATAGATCTGAAAGCTGTGCCCTTAGCGCCATATGTAGTCGGTGCTCATTCCAGAGCTTAAATCTCTCGAGATTTTACATGCGTACACAGGTAGAGCTGATGTTAGGGACGAAGAGTTGGTCCATCTCGCTGAGCACTGATGCTAAATCAGATGCAATAACTTGACTTCTGAGCTATAATACACGGAGCAGATCTAAATAAGGACTCGCGCAGCGTGTGTGAAATAACCTGGCCGCTTGCAATGGCTGGTTTCGTTCGCGTGCTTTACTTAGCGACACTCTTGAGGATTTATGGAACTGTTGAGAAATTGAATCAGCTGATCGTCAGGCTTTTGTCGATTGGAGTAAAAATTGAAGCCTAAAGAGCTCGAGGAAAAGGATTAAAGAAGGAAGACTCTGAAGATCAGACGATCCTCGGCCTACATCGTCGAAAACCTTCTTGCAGCTGAGGACGATAAGCACATCATTGCCAGTTTCAGGAGTAACCAATAACATCTTGTGAAACAGGCTAGCAACGAAGAAACAGCGGAAGACGGAAGAAATCTGCTGAAAGTTGATGGCCAGGATAATAGCACGCATGCCATCCTGCAAAGTTGAAGACTTGCAAATTCTAACAGCTTCACTATCGAACTCACCTTCATCAATAAGAGTTTGAAGTTCCATCTGGCATTCGTTCTGGGTTGGGATCAATCCTAAAACCAGCAACCCTCTAAACCTCCACGGAATCGACCACATTCCTTTCAGTTATCCTCGTACCTAACCTAACCTAATCTCATCACCTAAGCTCTCAACAAAGTTGCTTCTCACCGTAGCAATCTACGGTGAGAAGCAACTTTGTAGCTTTGTGATTGCTGAGTGCAGATTGCAACTCTAGCGACTTACTCGACAGCGTCAACTCTCACAGCCAACTGGAAGTTGCTCAGAGAACCATGGCAACCTGAGATCAATGGTGGAACCTGCACGTAGAGGTTGAATAAGTCGACCATTAAGCAACTTTGAAAGTAGATACGAAGGATGATATCATAGCTGATGTGCTAAGTGAAGTACCGTAGCACCAGTCCAGATGACAAAGCATTTAGACCTTCCATAGATCTGGTAGAAAAATTACGATCAGATCTGTCTCTTCAGATCAGATATAAAGGCTTCTACGCTGTACAGCTCATCGCTTCAACTTGCTGTTTTGCCAGCTCTGTAATCTCCACGGATAGCTTCCATTAGGATCTCGATTCATTCCTTTTATGGATCTATTCAAGATCTTCATAAATCCAGAGCACTGCATCAGGAACAGTGGTTCCTTGAGCCGATAATAGATGTCGTTGCAGGTCGGGATCAAGATCCAGAAACAAGGAAAGATAAATGTTGGATTGCAGACAACTACATCAATCATCAGATTGACCTTTCAGTCAGCATTCAAGCTTCCACAGACTGATCTCGGGTGTGCCAATCCCGCATCCATCGCAGGCAGAGGGAAACATTCTGCAGTAGATCCGTAAGCCGAACCTTGAGGATGCAAGTGATATCGAACTGGATGGCCCAATGGCGACATTCTTCTGGGACTCGATCTCACTCGGTTTGCAACACTCGACCTCTGGAACGAAGACCATGGTATTCCACTGTCGCCCACGTATTGGGAGGCTGGCTTCTGCAGTCTATCCATGCAATGGCTTCCGCAGTCAGAAAAGGAGACCGATATTCCATAATGTCAGGTAGGCCCAACCGCATCTTGATCGTGATAAGAGGCAGTGCTGGAGCATGACTTTTTGTATGCCACAATAGACAACAAGGTCTCCATTTGTCTTTATTGTAAACTTGGTCTTCCATGCTTTCCTCTTCTGTCCGGATAGCAGAGGCCCGTGGGACATGCTACCAAAGCATGTTACGTCCTGGAGGCCTTTTACATCTTCGAGACTCTTCTTAGGTTGCAAGTTAGGCTCAAGTCTCTTCAATCCTGAGAGTTCTGTAAAGTTGGATAAGTCCTTTTCATAGGCTACGCCAGGAAGCGATCTCAGTATTGACTTCTTGTCAGCGAGCAAGTATATAGCATTTATAATACTCGGTGCCAGGATACAGGGGCGCAGTTTGGGACCCCACCATCAGTTCTGAATCATTTGCCAGAGAAAAGTATGGTGAAAATCAAATGATGTCGAGAATCCTGGAATCGATTCGCTCACGACGTCATGATTCCTTTGTTCTATCCCTCGAAACCCCTTCGCTAATCCATGGACTTTACTATTCTTCATGCCATCGAGCACCGTGCAACTTGACCTTGTACAACTCGGCCAAACACCAACAGATTCCCAAGGTCCCATATTAAAGAGTAGCCCTGAGTCTTCTCGTCGATTCCAATCATATTTTTTGAGTCATTAACAGATCATGGTTAGGAAAAAGGCTGCACCATTCTAAAACCAACAGTGGAGAACGTAGGTCGCTCACTGATCATCTGTTGACACCAGTTTGGCCTCACCAGCGGACTGAAGAGTATCTACCTCCCAAAGCATCATTCGAATCACTTAGTTCATTCCTTTCTGGAGAGTCGCAAGTGACCGAGGGTCAGTTGGGCACCTCTGGGCTTCTACCACCCAGCTCTCTTCAATAAGACTCGCACAGCTTTGTCTCAAAGATAGCACTGCACCGCTGACTGAGCATGTGGTTTGATTAATGTGCACTCGGCGATAGACAACTCTCTGATGACGACATAAAACAAATATTTCGACCATTGAGCTTGCAAAGCCCGCGGGCCCCCTTGATCTCGTCTGTTGAAAAATTCAGAATTATCGTGACCCTCATTGCTATGGTCCTGCAGACCATAACAATGAGTTCATCATGACAAGTGATCACAGCCGACCGAAGGTTCTTCTCAACTACTATTGTGACGTAGTTGAGAAGGAAATGTTCTTATTAATCAAAGCAGAGGAGACTTCTGCTCACATGGATTAATGAATTTCTTATCGAGGTTAAGAACTTTGGGCCGATGTAGGAGCTTTACCTTCGATTTTCGACGTGGTTTAAACCAGTTCCATGGAGATGTTGCGAGGACGGCGTCATGTATTGATCTGGGAGGTAACTGGAGCGAGCCATAACCGGCGGCCAGCTACGTGACGACTCTGAAGGTAGGCCAAAGTTTCAGTCGAGCTCCGTCAGCAGCACGTGGAGTGGAGTGGGCTGGAAGCCCAGAGCAGCTTGTTTCGCGCATGTTTCATCGGGAAAGATGAGCATTTCACTCCAAATTCCACCACCTTCCCAATCGGGATCGCGTCAATGCTTACTTCCGCTGCCTACTTGCCTCGATATATCACGCTGCAGATGCCCGTCCATGGCAGCACAGTGCGTTGATCCAACGCGTCAGTGAACGTCAGTTGGGGTCGAGTCGACTGGAGCCTGGCTCCTGTTTGTCGGGCCGAAGGGCCATCTTTCCCTTTAAGAGGTGCGCACTTTCATAGCACTTTATAACTACTGGGGTTCCGAGCTTGCAAGCACACACACGAATGTTCGCATTGTTCCAGTCAGTTATCCATTGTGTTGCGCTGTCAGATCTGGAATCCAAGCAACTCTGAGGTGAAACCCGATGTACAAACAATAATTCGGTGAAATCTCGAGCTTCCAGGTAGTCGGTGCCAATCGGGGCACAGAGTAGGGCTCGAACGAGAAGAAAGAGAAGTCGAGAGTCATGGCTGGCGCTTTGGATGCGATGATTCCGGTAGGCCTGGGCCTGACGGTGCAGGAGCTTGCAAATTTGGGCGCATTTGGAGTGGTCCGAGAGTCGGTCAAGGTGTTCGGAGGAGCACGGCCTGCGCTCGTGTGGATTCAATTCGCCCTCGTCTTGCCCTTCACCCTCTTCATCAACGCAGATCAATACCTCCAACACAAAATCATCGACAAGCTTTGCCCCGATGTGCCGCCACCTCCGTCTCCCCCGATCGTCAGGCTCGCCTACGCGGGGCCGCTCGGGCATGTGCAGAAGTGGATGGCCACGGATCTGCACAAGTGGTTGGACATGGATCTGCACCAATGGCTCGGACTGCTGTCCATCGTCGGGCTCGTCCTGCTGAGCTTCTTCGTCGGCCTCGTCGTGCTGGCGGCCATTTACCACGCCGTGGGATGCATCGTCCAGGGCAGGAACGTGGGCTTCTGCGAGGCGATGAAGGGAGTGCCCCGGCTATGGAGGAGGCTCTTCGTCACCAGCTTCGTGAACATGCTGCTCGTGCTCTCATCCGTGGCCGTGTTCATCATCTTCGTCATCATCTTCAAGCTCGCCGTGCCCAGCAAGCACGATCTGCTGCCGATCATCGTCGCCGTGGTCGGAGCTGTGTTCCTGATCCCTATTTTCATCATCTACCTCATGTTCCAGGTCGCCAATGGCGTCACTTGCTTCGAGGAGGATTATGGTGTGGCCGCCTTCCGCAGAGCCAAGCACATCATGCACGGCAAGTGGTGCTCGGCCGTGCTCTTGTTCATCCTGCTCGCCATCCCCACCACGCTGCTCGGCGCCCTGCTCGGCTCCCCGATCGCCATCGCCACGGGCTTCAGCTGGAAGCTCCTCGTCCTCGTCGTCGTCTACGTCATCTTCACCTCGTACCTCACCGAGCTCATCTGCATCTGCTGGGCCGTCTTCTTCTTCTCGTGCGCCGCCACCTTCGACCTCCGAGCGCCGCACGACGAAACGCTGGCTGCCTCCTACCATGCTCTGCCCGAAGACGGCATCGCCGCCCCGTGATCGAGCGAGCGAGCGAGCGAGCGAGCGAGGAAGCGAGGAGCGAGAAATAAAAAATCCGCCCGAAGAAGAGGCGAACAGTTTGTAGAATTTTCGACCCACGATGATGACCATCCGCACCTCGAGGGGAATAAAACTCCGAGCGATCAGAAGATTTGTCCCTCCCTGACATTGATTGATTGATTGACAAATTCGCCCCTCCCTCTCGACGACGACGAATCCTCAGCCCCCGCCGCCACATGTGCACTTTCTCGGCGATCGTCGAAGCCTCATGAACGAATCCGCTCGCACCTCGAGGGGGGCGCCCTGTTACCGGTGATCACCCGTACTCTCTTGGTATTTTGTCCTGACGAAGGCCTAGATTGCATAGTATAACCGTACCCACCGGTCACCATGTAAACTCACTCCGAAGCTGCTGCTCAGTCTCGGCCTTGCCGCCATCATTTTCCATCGCCATCATTTCATAAACATTCGAGAGAATTTCTCTCGCGGGCTCCGTTTGAGGCAAAAGTGTGGTCCGATCTTTCGCGCAATGTATATCTCTCTTTCATCACGATGACAGCTTTTGTGAGTTTCAAGTTTTTCCAGCCGGTAGCGTGATTCTGATTTCTGTGGTGCGTTCGTCGGAGATGATGATGTTCTGGCCCTTTATGGCCTACTGTACAGCCGGATTCCCTGGACTCGAGGACTTATTGATGAGGGCTACGGTGCTAGGGGAGAATATCTTCAATTGTAGTTGACCAGGTCTAGGATCTGATTGCCTCCACAACACGGGTAAATTATTGTTTAGTCCATGTAGATTTTTCTTCAATCTCAACTTGAAACCAAAAGAGAATTAGTTTCGTTGTGAAAGAGATATGGATGATGTATTTTGTCGACATTCCCATACACGTCGTACTCAGGAGTAAATTGCATCTCTCTTGTTCTCCTTCCGGAGTGATTCCAAATTGGTAGCGGGAGTGAACCATTTCAAAGTGCACATCGAAGACGAGAGAAGGGAAAGAGAGCATTCATCCCACTCGTATCAGATGCGAGACTCGTGATAGCTGCCTAGTGCTGTTCGATGTCCAAATAGGGTTTAGGGTCTAGGGTTTAGGGAAGAATAGATTGAGTCCTCAACTTTTGACACCCTGTTTTGGTCACACGCAGAGAAGACGATCAGTCAGTCGGCAGTCTAATCAGATTCTCTTGATGCCCATATTACCCACTAATCGAAGAGGAACCTTTAATATGTCGAGAACCTAATGCATTCACATTAATTCGAACGAAATTAGCGAGATTAGCGTGGTCACGAGTTTCCAGTCAAGAGGAGTCAAAGGAGGTCTCGAAAAGTCTTCATTCGGACCCTTTTGTTTCTGTGCCTGTCAGTATGTGCGCAGATAGACCGAATATCGACGGATTCTGCCATCGAGAGCGCCAGAATATGTGCCAGACGTGACGAAGATATGACGATGAGGGAAGTCCCTCATCGTCATAAAAGTCTGCGTGGACTAAAAGTCCACGCAGAGGGTTTCGTGCGAGGAGCAAGTGTGGCAAGCAAGCTTGGTGTTGTGAATTTCTCCTCGTGATGATGTTGGGGTATAATGCTTGGAGATATTTTCATGTATCGTACCTTTAAGCTTCGTAAGCCCACATGAGCTCGTATATATCTCTGCGAATTTCTCCCCTTCCATCACAAGGGCGTCCGCATACCGAGTTGGAGGTCACTGAGCATTCATTCAGCGATAAGCGGATGTAGAGAACTCTGCCCAGTTGATTGTCGACCGATCAGGGACTTGAGGACATTACACACAAGTGCCAGGAAAAATGGATGTAGCCGTGGACGAATCACCGCCCACCGGGCTCGGCTTGAGACGGCAGCAGCTTCGACAGACGGGTCCATGTGAAATTTATAAGCAGGCAACCGAGCAAATGAATCGCCCTACGTTACGGTCGGTGATGCTCAAGGTCGCCTTCCCATTTGCTCTACTCAATTTCGGAGCTTCAGTGCTCCTCACTTCCAGGATCCCCAATGAACCTTCATGGCAGGTTTTGATGGCCGTCACAGCTCTGGGACTGGCAACCTCTTGTCTCGATCTCTTAGTCGTGGCTGCCACGTTCTTCACAGTGGGACGCCAGTACCGGGGAGAGAAGGTGACGCTGCAGGAAGCTCTCCGAGCTATGCTGGGCTTGTGGCCAAAATTGTTCGTCAACAATCTTTATAGCACGGGCTTCATGTTCGCCGTATTCATGGTGAGTCTAGCCGCGGCCATGACCATCATCTTTACCGCCTCCTCCGATGCTGTCAAGTATTTCGCTTTCGTTGTGATCGCCTTGGTCCTCATCATTCTGGTGGTTGCGATCCAAACTTTGTCCATCTTTGCGACCGCAGTTACCTGCTATGAAAAGACTTATGGCTGGGCTGCTTACAAGCAAGCGCAGAAGCTCCTGCAGCGCAAATGGAATTCGGTACCGCTCTTCGCGCTCATATTTTATGTTCCCGTATGGATCACCGGCACCTTTACTTCATATCTCTTGAAGGAATTCCCGGAAACCTCTTTATGGATGGAACTGTTCAGGATAGTTTCGTATGCTATCGTGATCACATTGTTTGATCAGCGGTTACTAGTTTCGGGTGCCCTATTCTACTTCTCCTGCTTTGAGAAACCCGACGAGCAGAATGTGAGTGACAGCATGGAAGCTGGGTATCACTCAATTGCCTCACAGGAGGTTTAGGTGCCAGAATACAAATGGTGTCCGATTCGTCATTTCCTTTACAGATAGAGAGCTCACATCGTACACGTTCTCAAGCACGCAAATATAAGAACTTGGCATTTGCAAGCTCGAGGACGAGTTCTTCAAATGTCCACTTGTATTCTGTCTAAGCTTGTATACAAGACCTCTAGTCATACGTGGACGATAAGGAACAATAAGAATTGAACAAATTCTCATAGTACATTCAGCGGCAAATTTTCAAAAGTTACGTGATTTGGAGACAATCAATCTTATGTGCTGAGAAAATCAGTACATGTGCCTCACAATTTCGTTCTTTCTCTTACTCCCGGACTGTGAAATATTCCTCTGTTTCGTGTTCTTGAGGGCTTTTGACTTTATCTGATTCCTTGCATTCTACGAGATTTCATCATCCATCATGTCTTTGCTGTAAACAGCCCTGCTTGAATAAACGAGTGCGGCCCCATAAGCCTAGAGCGGAATGCAAGGGCACGCACGCAGGGACAACATTGTGTGAAGACCCATTAAGGATACATCAGAACTGTAAATCATAAGATAAAATAACTGAATGTAGAAAATGTCTGCTCGTTCTATAGCTGCCCAGTGCTGTTCGATGTCCATGTTGTGGATTCAGAAAAATGGATTGAGTGAGTCCTCAGCTTTTGACACCCTGTTTTGGTCACAGGCAGAGAAGATGATCAGTCAGTCTAATCAGATTCTCTTGATGCCCATATTACCCACTTATCGAAGAGGAACCTGCATACGATGGCTCGCAAGGCCTTTAATACGTCGAGAACCTGAATGCATTCACATTAATTCGAACGAAATTAGCGAGATTAGTGTGGTCACGAGTTTCCAGTCAAGAGGAGTCAAAGGAGGTCTCGAAAAGTCTTTATTCGGACCCTTTTGTCTCTGTGCCTGTCAGTATGTGCGCAGATAGACCGAATATCGACGGATTCTGCCATCGATAGCGCCAGAATATGTGGCAGACGTGACGAAGAGATGACGATGAGGGACTAAAAGTCCACACATACGCTTTCGTGCGAGGAGCAAGTGTGGCAAGCAAGCTTGGTGTTGTGAATTTCTCCTCGTGATGATGTTGGGGTATAATGCTTGGAGATATTTTCAAGTATCGTACCTTTCAGCTTCGTAAGCCCACATGAGCTCGTATATATCTCTGCGAATTTCTCCCCTTCCATCACAAGGGCGTCCGCATACCGAGTTGGAGGTCACTGAGCATTCATTCAGCGATAAGCGGATGTAGAGAACTCTGCCCAGTTGATTGTCGACCGATCAGGGACTTGAGGACATTACACACAAGTGCCAGGAAAAATGGATGTAGCCGTGGACGAATCACCGCCCACCGGGCTCGGCTTGAGACGGCAGCAGCTTCGACAGACGGGTCCATGTGAAATTTTTGAGCAGGTAAAGGAGCAAATGAAGGGCCCTCCGTTACGGTCGGTGATGATCAAGGTCGCCTTCCCATTTGCTCTACTCAATATTGGAGCTTCAGTGCTCCTCACTTCCAGGATCCCCAATGAACCTTCATGGCAGGTTTTGATGGCCGCCACAGCTCTGGGACTGGCAACCTCTTGTCTCGGTCTCTTGGTCGTGGCTGCCACGTTCTTCACAGTGGGACGTCAGTACCGGGGAGAGAAGGTGACGCTGCAGGAAGCTCTCCGAGCTATGCTGGGCTTGTGGCCAAAATTGTTCGTCACCCATCTTTATAACGCGGGCTTCATGTTCGCCATAGCCACGGTGACTGTAGCCGCGAGCATCAGCGTCATCATTAACGCCTCCTCCGATGCTGTCAAGTATTTCGCTTTCGTTGTGATCGCCTTGTTTTTCATCATTCTGGCGGTCGTGCTGCAAACTTTGCTCCTCTTCGCGACCGCAGTTACCTGCTATGAAAAGACTTATGGCTGGGCTGCTTACAAGCAAGCGCAGAAGCTCCTGCAGCGCAAATGGAATTCGGTACCGCTCTTCGCGCTCATATTTTATGTTTTACCGGTGATCTGCGCCACTATCACTTCATATAAATTGAAGGCTGTACCGAAAACCTCTTTATGGATGGAACTGTTGAGGATAATTTCGTATGCTTTCCTGAATACATGGTTTGATCAGCAGTTACTAGTTTCGGGTGCCCTGTTCTACTTCTCCTGCTCTGAGAAATCCGACGAGCAGAATGTGAGTGATAGCATGGAAGCTGGGTATCACTCAATTCCCTCACAGGAGGTTTAGGTAACAGAATACAAATGGTGTCCGATTCGTCATTTCCTGTACAGATAGAGAGCTCACATCGTACACGTTCTCAAGCACGCAAATATAAGAACTTGGCATTTGCAAGCTCCAGTACGACTTCTTCAAATGTCCACTTGTATTCTGTCTAAGCTTGTATATAGGACCTCTAGTCATACGTCGACGATAAGGAACAATGAGACTTGACCAAATTCTCATAGTACATTCAGCGGCATATTTTCAAAAGTTACGTGATTTGGAGACAATCACTCCTATGTGCTGAGAAAATCAGTACATGTGGCTCACATTTTCGGTCTTTCTCTTACTCCCGGACTGTGAAATATTCCTCTGTTTCGTGTTCTTGGGGGCTTTTGACTTTTTTCTGATTCCTTGCATTCTACGAGATTTCATCATCCATCAATTCATCTTTGCTGTAAATAGCCCTGCTTGAATAAACGAGTGCGGCCCCATAAGCCTAGAGCGGAATGCAAGGGCACGCACGCAGGTGTACAACATTGTGTGAAGACCCATGAAGGATACATCAGAACTGTAAATCATAAGATAAAATAACTGAATGTAGAAGAAAGTACTCGAATAAAACGATTTTGGCGGATAGTCAAATGTCGTCGCCTGGTAGATAAAGCAGATCTAAGAATGTAAGGTTAGTAGGTTGACAGCTCCACATTGACCACTCACTCCGAAGGGCACCAGTGAATCGGCGAGACACATGTAATGCTTGTACTTGTTACGACCAACGTGGATTAAATTGTTACTTTACACAACAGCCTTAAATTCGATGAATGATGAGAAATGGTGGTGAGTGAGTTGTGCAGTTCAATATCTATTTCAGGTTCCTACATGAAAGAGTATTCAAATGGCACTGGTATAAAATTAAAATTGTCTTCTCGATGATCTACTGTGGCCGTAATGACTTTTTCGCATAGAGCTGAAATCTATCAATATTTGACAGGAATTTGAAGTGTATCGAGCTAAGCACGAGAGATATCGTATAAAGTCAACTACACTGTAGTCACTGGAAAATTTTATGCTTCAGACAGCAAGAGGAAACTGGCACCTTGGACGGAGAATGGTCGGTTCCGCCGCCCTGGCTTCACCTTGTGCTTTCTCGTTAATCCTCCATGATCTTTGGAACTTTGGATACCTACTACATACAACTTTGGAAGTCCTAGAAGTTTGGACAAAAATTTCCAAGTTATGCTGACCGGTTGAAACTTCCCACTTAGCTCAGTCGGTAAAACATCTTCCTCCATATGAAATAAATATAAAGTGTTCTTACAGACTTTATTCCATGTGGAATTTGAGAGGGAGGCAAAACGAATACATAAAGGATGTAAAGACCCCATCAACCTCTACAAGGAAGAAAGGAGTAAGACTCAACAGGAATAAGATAGAAAATAACTGATACAATGATTCACATATCTAAATTATTCTAAATCACTAAACCCTAAACATCGGCTATAAACAATAGGAGGATACAATCAAGAATGAACGAAAGTAATTATTTTTTCATGTATAACATCAGATAATGTTCTATGTAGAGTTACGAAAACATATTGTCTGAATTAATCTACAAAATCTATTGAAAAGATGAATTACTTGCTTGAGGCACTCAACACAGGTGGATGCACTAAACGCAAACTGGATGGGTGAGAGATAACAAGCAGATACTGTCTTGGCTGGAAAACGGCGAGATCTAACTTGCCCAGGGTAAATAAATCTCTACAGGAATTGATTTATCCGGGTTTTTGAGGTTAGCTATCTCTGGCGACGAATTAATTATTGCTATTACGCAGCTCAAATATTTACAAAAAAATATTGTTCAAAAAGATATTATTATTTTTTTCAGCTGGAATATTAGTGAAGAGAACTAGTACATATAGTCTAGGGTAACTTGTCTTCTAGTGTTGCCTTATCTCACCGCAACGGCTATACATCCGTTTACCTGGTTTGTTCAGATCCTCACCTTTATAATAAGGTGACAGCTAATATAAGACGATATACTAAACTAATGGTTCGCACTCTAAGAGTGCGTAATTCTAACACCTTCTCTTACTCTAGAGTGCGAAAGATAATCGTTTGAGATCAACATCGTAGAAAATCTTTCAAGGAATGTCGAGTCTGAGAGGCAAGGGCAAGGCAATATCGGAGGGTAGTGAGGAGTTACTATTTTCCATACTATGGAGATTTCTTCACATGTTATTGAGATCGACGGTGCTGAACCTGAAAGCGAGCTGATGCATCCAGCTGCAGTGAATCCAAGGTGGACGGAGTTGTCGGAAAGAGGAGGAGGTTTGGAGCCTCCACTTAATGTCGCTAATGGAATTTCTAAACCGGAATTCGTAGGTTAGATTTCAGCCTTCCAGTAAGGAAGTAGTATGAGGTAGCCATTGGAAGACTACCTGACGTCTACTTGAGGCTGTGTCTCAAGTAGTGGAGTATCTCATATACCTGCACAAAGCATTTGGAACTAGGAGAGTGTCCAAGCTTTTTTGTTCAGGTTAGGCGTTAGAACTGCTTGGTAAAGAACTAAGAGAGTCGTCACTTAGAGTTGATATATTGCGGAGGCCTAGAAAATGTTGATGCTGATTGAATTTTAATCTTGGCAGGGCTTTAGTAAGCATGTCTGCTGGTTGAAGCTTAGTTGACAGGAAATAAATGATAATTTTGTCTAGAGCAACTCTCTCCCTAATGAAATGATGTTGTATGCCTATATGTTTACTACAGGCATGAAACACAGGATTCTTTGCCAGTTTAATGGCATTCTCGTTGTCGCAATGAACAATTGTAGATTTTTCAGCTAAATCAGAGTTGTGCGCTGCGGAGGTTACCTTGAAATTCTTACATGAAAGTGATGTACGTGGTAGTGTTGTCGGATTTATTTCTCGGAACAGTTGGCGAAGCCAAATGGATTCTTGAGCACCAAATGAAAGTGCCTTGTATTCGCTTTCAGTGGATGAAAGCGATATCAAAGCTTGCCTTTTGGACCATCAGGAAATTGCCCCACCAGCAAGAGTAAAAGCATAGGCTCTCAAAGTATCTAGGCAAGAGTTCCAAATGGCGTTAGTGTATCCCTGTAACTGAAGTGTAAAACCTCAATTAAAAAACAAGCTGTGATCCAACGTAACTTTCAAATATTGTAGGGTCTGGAAACCCACCTCCAAATGAGATTCTTGAGGCTTGGCCATGAATCTAGAGAGTTGCACGACATCAAAGCAAATGTCGAATCTTGTGTTTGTTGCAAAGAGCAGTTGGCCCGCCAGTTTTTGATAGAATGTGGAGTCTACAGAAGGGGTACCTGTATTTTCAATCAAGTATTTTCCTGCTTCTATACGACTCGCTTAGTTGCACAAACTTTTACAAACGGCCGTACTGCCAGGTGTCAGGGATCCCAGTTTCTTTCTCCTCTTTCTTTCTTTCTTCATCCTTCCTTCGGGCTGCCCCGGATCAGCCGGATTTTATCTTAGTTTTGGGAACGGGAAGGCGGAGCGCTTTGCGGAGAGGGTCGGCGGACCCTACATTCCGGCAACCATGTAGAGGCCATCAACCGGATAAAATTCCAACAACCATGTAGAAGAGAGGTCGTCACTGTAGAGGCCGCAACGTTGTATCTAGTGCGTTGCAATGATCTACGCCGTAAAAATGATCGCAGTCGTGTCGTGGAACGTTGCGGGAACTAAAACTAAACTGCAAGAGGTATGGCTCAGATGGAATCCCTAATTTTCAAACTGTAATATTTGTAATCAAACGGTGATAACAAATTGAGGCGACGAAATTTTAAGCGGCAAAGATTAGGGTTTTTGAAAATAGAATCACATCAATATTCTCCAGCTTGTCGTTTCGACGTCGCTTTTGGGTGCCAGTGTCAGTGCTTTGAGGAGCTCGTGCCAGAGCTCGTGCTTGTACTTTTCTTGTCATTTCAGGTGCTTTTGCAGGTGTGGTGACAGCATGGAGGCAGATGGATTGTGCAGGACCCACCTTATGATGGCCCTTTCAATTCGTTAATGTTGAATTGGTCAAATGGGACGGCCTACATCAAAAGCTCGAGGCTTAACGATTTTGTTTCGGGAGAGGGATCTTGTCATAGCGATGCGAAGACAGAATTTGTGACACGTTGCTCATACAAGGGTGGAGGTACTAGGCACAATTGGGAATCGTATGCAATGTATTATTGCAAGTATGGTACTCCAGAAAGTGGCAAGAAGAGTATGCTTTCCTCGAATTTTATTCAAGATCCATCAACAAAGGCAAAATTTGGTCCTGGCAGCAGGGATAGACTAGATCATGATTCGCATCACAAGGGCTGTCAGTGCAGGTTTAGTGCCATTAAACTGCTGTCTAATGATCACATTCCACCAGGAATCACAAAATTGATATACAAGCATAGAAGACACGTAAATGCTGTAGGTGTAGCTTGTCATGGCACAGCGTGTTTGGATAGTGTTGGCTTCCCATCTCAAATGGCGCGCAATTTATCCTCTGAATGCAGGTAACGTCATATTTGTTACATTTTCAATGTATTTGTTTATCGTTCACAGTCAATCTGCCGTCATATTTGTAATATCTACAATAAGTTTGTTGTTATTACAGTTTGTAAAACTTTGACACTAAGCAAGCACGTTGTCTAATATTTTCTATGTTCTTATGCTAAGGAGTGGGTTGAATGTGAGTTAAGAAGAGGTTTAACTCCTCCACAAATTCTCATGCGTGCTGCAAAAGCACTGTTCTAAAATCATCAGCGCTTAGGCTATGTGCAAGGGACCCCTATTAGAGATCATTATATCACATCTGCCGATGTGTATAATATCAAATTGGAACTGGACAAAGAAACTTGGAGAAGGCATGCTAATGATAGAATTAGCACAGAATTATGGATGAAAGCGAATTCATCTCAAGTTGTTTTGTATCAGGCACCAAAAAGTGATACATTTAAACCATTGAGGCTTGCTGTTACAAGACCCTTGCTCCTAGATTGGTTGCTAAAACATGGAAATGGAGGTTGTGTTGCTATAGATGGAACGCATGGCACGCAGAAGTATAAGGTAATATTCTACTTGTCCATTTTGATGTTTTTATCATCAGGGTTCCATGATTATGTATATTCTACCTTATTATTTGCAATCTCTGCAAGATATTTGAAAAAAAGACGGTTTGGAGCTTTAACCAGTCCTGTAAGACATTATTGAACGTCTCAATGTGTGCTGTATATGTTGTTTTATATACCTTGATCACGTCTAAATTATCAAGACATAAAAATAGCGAATCATTCATTTGTATCAGGTTTAGCTTAGTATCAATGAAGATGAATACTTTGTAGACGATTGCTAGCAGCAAACTGATACGTTTATTTCATTTTTTGCAATGCAGTATCCAGTGTACACCCTGATGGTGTTTGACGAATATGAACACGGACATCCTACTGTTTTTGGATTCCTCGAAAGAGAAGAAACAGAAGATCTGGTGGATTTATAATCTGCAGCGAAGAAGATGGCCCAGCATTATATCCTATGATATTAATGTGCCTATGAGTTTGATGAAACTTATTAAACTGATGTGGAATGGCAGAGCAAGATAGTGAAAACTAGTAGTTTGATGATCTTTGATTTATTGATGAAAAAAAATACTTACCTGTAATGTGTTTTATTCTACTAAGAAATGTCACTGCTTGTTGAATTTTTAAATTATTCAGTAAATATTAAACATTTATATATAAAAAAAAGTGTATTTTGGTCACTCTTTCACTCAAAAGTGTATTAACAACTGTGCT